AGGACGCACACGATGTGCCCAGACAAGCCCGATGAGCGCATCAGCAACGCCAGAAGCGTGACGGGACGTGAGCAGGAAGCTCGCACACTCCACCGTCAGCAGGCGCTTGACGAAATCTCCGAGGCTTCTACTGATCGGGGCGATGACGTGGATGGCGCGCAGGCCCACAGGGATAACAGTTCGCCACCCGCACCAGGGCCTGGACCTACCAAGGAAGAGAGCCATGCGTTTCTGGACGCCCGTATGACTTTGTTGGAGGAACACGTACGGCATTGGGTTCTCATAGTGTATGCTCTTTATTGCACGACCGCCGATTGCAGTATTTTCCATTATGATTCTGGGCAGAGCGAGTCGGGACACGGGATGTTGCCTCAACTCAGTGTCCGTTCGTGGATTATTTGGTGTTGGTTTCTATATTATGTAGTGGTGCTGGTTATTTTGCACACACGTGCCACTTGTGTGTATATATATATATATATATATATATATATATATATATATATATATATATACGGCGCACCGGGTCCGGGGGCCCGGGGCCGGGACCCCGACCGCAAATCTGGGCCCCGGGGGGCCCGGAGGCTCGTCGGACCGCTGGACGCCGTCCAAGATCGTTCGCAGGCGGCTTCGGAACGCGCTCCGATGGCTCCAGATGCCTTCCAAGACGCCTGTCATGACACCAAGAAGGTCCCAGAAGCCTCCAAGACGCTCCGAGAGGCAGCCCAAGAGAGGCCCAAGAAGCAAAAATCGTGCCATTCCTATGGGAAAACGTATATTTTTCGCATGTTCGCCTCTTGGGCTTTCACCGCGTCCAAGACGGCCCAATAGGCGCCCAAGACGGTCTACGAGGCCTCCGGGAGCGCTCCAAGGCTGCGCACGAGTGGCCCAGGACGGCCCCAAGACGGCCCAAGAGAACCCCAAGATGAGTTCGAGAGGGGTCCCAGACGGAGAAAGCTAACCTCGAATTCCGAGCTTCCGGCCCAAGAGGCTCCAGGAGACGCCAAAATGCCGCCAAGAGGCGCCAAAAGGCTCCCAAAAGCACCCCAAGACGTTCCGAGAGGCATCCCAAGAGAGGTCCAAAAAACAAAAATCGTGCCATTCCTATGGGAAACACACACATATATTATATATATATATATATATATATATATATATATATATATATATATATATATACACATACATACATACATACATACATACATATAACGCCGCACCGGGCCTGGGGGCCCCGGGGCCGCAGCCCCGACCGCAAATGGGGGGACGTCGGGCCCAGCCCGCTCCCCGGCGGGCCCCAGGTCGCCCCCCGGAGCGCCCAGACGGCCGTCCAGGCGGCTTCAGGCCGCCCACAGCCACCCTGAAGACAACCTCCAGCGGTCTTCGGCGGCTCAAGAGGCGTCTCGAACCGCCCCAGACCGCCCCAGACGCCTCCAAGACGCTCGAAGACCCCTCCAAGAGATCCCCCCAGACGGCCCTCAGAAGCAAAAGTAGCCCCGCGCCCGTCGTAAAACGTACATTTTTACCATATTCGATTTTTTGGCGTTCGTACCGTTCTTTACGACCTCCGACTCTCCATAGACCGCCCCAAGACGGCCCACGAAGCCCACAAGAGAGCCCCAAGACGGCCCCAGAGGGGCCCCGGACAGTCCAAGAGGCGCCCAGGACGGCCCAAACGCGTCCCCGAAGGGCCCCAAGAGGGGCCCAAGAGGGGACACCCAACTGAACCTTCCAGCCCCCCCGCCCCAGGAGGCCCCCAAGAGGCCCCTAAGAGACTCCCAAGAGGCCCAAAGAGGCCCCCAAGACGCCCGCGGCAGGCCCCCAAGGGCTCCCAGAGGCCCCCCCAAGAGGCTTCCAAGAGGCACCCCGAGGTTCGCAGGAAGCCCCCAGGAGACCCCCAAGAGGGCCCCAACGGGCTTCTGAGAGGCTTCCCCAGACACCTTCATGTACGTCTACATGTGCCCTCCGGTCCAAAAACCTGAGACCGTTCCTGGGACGCCGCCTGATTGGCACATGTTTTCTTTGTCTCTGTCAATGGGTGGAGCGGCAGCGACCCTTGTCGCTGGGGCCGGGGGAGCAGGCCCCGGGCCCGAAAATTTGGCGAGAAGGGCTTGCACGAACAGATTTTTAGAGACCACCTGCCCGTGGAACTGGCGAAGCTGGGTGGCTTCATAGTTTCACAGTGCCTGGCGGCGGCAGCGTCGGCGCTTACTTTTCCTGCCCATGCACCTCTCTCTTCGGGGCCAGGGCCCGCTGTTGGGGGCGGCCACACAGGTCCCAGGCCGATCAGACAGCCGTCCCGACAGACCAAGACTGCCCCGAGCTGCCCTGAAGACGGCTTCCAGAGGTTCCAGACGGCCCAACTAGGTTCAAACAGCAGCCCGGCGAGTGTTCCGAGAGGCCAAATTTAGATATTTCCTTTCGTTTTTGACGGATGTCGGGCTTCCAACGCTCCCAGACGGGTCAAGAAGTTCCCCAGACCGCCGTCAAGGCGGCTCTAGAGGGGAGGCGTCCACGACGATCCAAGACCAATCCAAGAGGACCCGCAAGAGTGCTCCATCCCCTCAGGAATACTTGCACTTTTTAGTATATTCGTTTTTTAGTTTTAACGCAGTCGAAGACAACCCCAGAGGTCTCCAAAAACGCCCACAGACTGCCCATGAGGCTCTCAAGAGTGCCCCTAGACGGCTCAAGAGGGCCCCAAGATGGACCAAGAAAACCCGAAGACGGCCCAAGAGGGCCCCAGGATGGAGGGGTAATACGCGCTGCTATTTGGAACCCTCTGCCCAAAAATGACCACCGAGGCCGCCTATAGGTGCCCAACAGGACAGGCCGAAAGAGGTCCCTGGGAGGCCCAAAAGAAAATACAAAGAGGCTCCCAAGAGACCCCAGGAGGACTCCGGGAAACCTCCAGGAGACTCCGAAGAGGCTCCAATTGGGCTCCGAGAGACTTCGAAAGAGACCTGGGCCCCAAGATGCCCCAACATGGTTGGTAAGCTATCACAGCGTGAGGAGACAACACGAAAACGGTCTGGGCACGTCCCAGCAGGACCCGAGACGGCTCAAGAGAGTTCCTGTTTCTTCCATATGTCTTTCTGCCTCCTTTTTGTCTTTCCTCGTCCCGCCTGCACGTGCTCCGCCAGCCGGCGTGACAGCGCGTGCATGCCGTTTCAAGGCGGCTTTCTCTCCGTGCTCCGTTACCGCTCCTTCGTCCTGCACATGCTCCGCCAGTTGGCGTGTCAGCGCGTGCATTTTATAGCACGGCTGTGTTCCTCCTTCGTCCGTCTTTCTTCGATCTTCCTGCAAGTGCTCCACCACCCGGCGTGACAGCGCGTGCATTACGTGTTAAGGCAGTTTGTTCTCCGTCCTCTGAGTTTCTTTTGCACGTGCTCCGCCAGCTGGCGTGGCAGCGCGTGCATTTTATTTCAGGGCGTCATTGCGAAGCAGTCCGCATTGTTCGCAGTTCGCGACGCTCAGGCATGGAGAGTGCCATCATCTGCCTTCAGGAGATCCCCCGGTGGACTGCTGGCAAGTACCTCAAGCGAGTTCGCGCAGATGGCGTCGTCCTGCCTAGGAGGCCCCGACCTGAGCAGTGTGGCGACAGCGTGTACTAAGTACCCGTCGCCTGTCCTGCCCCGCCGCCCCGGCCAAAAGCCAGAGGGAGGGGGGGTCCGTCAGCGTGGCAGTGCGGGCCGCCGCAACTCTTATTCGGACCACAGGGCGGGCCGACAAAGAAAAGCGGGCAGTTTTCGTCTCGTCCTCCGTCATTCCTCGTCCCTCCCGCACATGTTCGGCAAGACAAGCCAAGGACATGTGACGACATCCAAAGACCAGCAGCCTACGGCCTCGACATTTCATCATAAAGCCAGTCAATGCCCCAAGCCTGTTCAGCGATCTCCTCGACGAACCCACAAACCAAGACCTGCGCGTCGTGACAACGAAGAGGCAACCCTGGACGGCGCCATCGGGGCCACAAACACCTGCCCCCCCCACAAGAGCGCCTGAGAAGCCCAAAAGCCAGCCCAAGGGAGCCCTGCGACATCCCATAACCGGCCCACGACGGACACAACTCCTCTCCGATTGCGAGTCGCCTGGAAACCCCGACCTCCGTTTCATCACAGCGCCATGGGCTGGACTAGAACCTAAGCGCGCGCGAAGCGCGCGCGTGGTTCTAGTATGTATGTATGTATGTATGTTCCGTGTATGTTTGCATATTGTGTGACTATTTTTCATTTTATCCCTCAAAGTTTGGCTGTAGGGGGACATGCCCGATCTAATAGTACTTGGAGGGCAGACGCCCACTTCAACAGCCAAGGCTCGACGAGAGACTCGACACTAGCGGCGTTCATCCATGCCGTGTCCTGGCTGGGATCCCACAAGGAATCGCGCTGTCTCGGGCCGCCGTTCGGGCGCGAAGGGGATGGTGCTTCGCCATCTGGTCAGGAGGGTCGTTCTTTCCCGCGGGAGCGGCGCGAGACGGGCCGCTCCCGTGGACGAGATGGTTTTCTCTCAGGAAGCGCCTCCCGTGGACGAGATGGTTTTTGCTCCTGCGGGGAGCGGCACGAGATGGATTCCTTCCAGGCACCGCGAGCACAAGTTGCTCCCAGTTTAGCACTGGGAGCACCTTGTGCAGGCGCCTGGTCATGGCGAGTGCAGTGCGCATGCATACTCGAATGAGGAGGTCCGAGAAGGCAGCAGCAGGTGCGATACGTCGCGCAGTGTGGTCGTACCAGGGCCCCTGTTATTATCGTCGTCTCGACCGCAATACAAAATACCTTTGTGGCGTTCCGAAATAGGGCCGTGCCTTCGAGGATCGAAGGATTCGAAGGTGGCAGAAGGTCGGCGGAAGTGAATCGGAGCCGCCTCCGCTTGCGGAAGTCGGCGGAAGGTCGGCGGAAGGCGGCGGAAGTCAAAGGTGCGGCCCCAAGAGATGAAAACGTTTTTAGACTCAGGGTTGCTGAACTTGCCCATGTATGTTTTAAATTGCTTGTATGCTGCCTCAGGTCCAACCACGATCTCGGAGACGATCGCGGCGCTCGTGTCCAGGAGCGGGGAGCTCGCTGGCAGCCTGGCGGTCTACGTGGACTCCGACGGCTGCCTGTACGAGGACGAGGCCGTGAGTTTCAGAGTCTGAGTGCATGTGCACATGCATGACGAGCACATACAACATCTATACACCACTACCCTGCCTGGCGAGGGCCGTCCTGGGCCCCACAGTGGTGTACCTTTCCGACCACCCTGGGGGTGATAAGGAGGTTGGGGGGGGAGGGGGGCCAGCAATGGGCAATAGTGGTGATTGTTGCGTTGCCGCTCGCTCTTGGGACCATCGATCCCACTATCGATCTCACTCGATCGATCTCACTGTCGATCTCACTCTGGATTTCGCTATTGATCCCACAATCGATCTCCCTATCGATATCACTCGATCTTACAATTGATATCATCACTATTCATCTCACTATCGATTTCACTATTGATCTCACTATCGGTCTCACTATCGATCTCACTATCGATCTCACAATCGATTTCGTTTTCGGTCTCACTTTCGTTTTCGCACCATCGGGACACCGGCGGGACACCGGCGGGACACCAGCGGGCCACCGCGGGCCACCGCGCTGGAGGGAGAAACATTTGGTCCAGCCGGGACCCAGCCACAAGCGGGACACCTGCGGGACACCGGCGGGACACCGCGGGCCACCGCTTGCCGGAGGGATAATCATTTCGTCTGGCCGCGCCTCAGCCACAGGAGACTTTCCTTTCGCCCGCCCTCGCAGCTTCGCCTCGCCCGCACGCACGGCACGCACGGACACGAAACCGAAACCGATTTCCCAGTGGGGGGCTCTCCGATCCCTTTCGATCTCACCCCTCAACCTCCGATAGACTCCGATAGACCCTCCTGGCCTCGGCCAGGAGGCGTACACACCATACATGGGGCACAGGATGACCCTGGCCAGACACGGCGGTGGTGTATTAGATACCTCCTGCGTGTGATAAGCACACCAAGTGCTCGTATGTTCGCGCACAGTACTGTGCAGTCAAGTGCACACACTCCTTCTCTGTGGCTTTCCCTTGCCCTTGTGCTTTCTTGCCCTTGTTCGCTGCGGGGTCTCCCTACCTCTTCCCTCCGCTTGGCCCCCCTCCCCGTCCCCCCGCCTTTTTGTCTGTCGGCCCAGTCCGTCCTTTCCCGTCGTCCTCCCTCTTTCTTCCCCTTTCTTTGAAAAAGCGCGTTCCTTGGTCGCTTGGAGGGAGGGGGGGGTGGAACCGGCCCCCCCCCGTGCTTCCCCCCTCCTCGGGCCTGCGCTTGCGTCGGCGGCGGCTGGCGACGGCGGCGGGGACGACGATTTCCATTTCTGGGCCGGCGCCGGCACCTGCGGCGGCGGGCGGCGGTGGCGGGGAGCATCGACGAAGACGACGATGGTGGTGGTGGTGGTGGGTTGTGGTGGTGGTGGTGGTGGCGGTGGTGGGGGTGGCGGTGGTGGTGGTTGTGGTGGTGGTGGTGTGGTGGTTTGCTGTGGTGGTGGTGGTGGCTGTGGCGGTGGGTGGTGGTGGTTTGGTGGTGGTGTGGTGGTGGTTTGTGGTGGTGGTGGGTTGTGGTGGTGGTGGTGGTGGTTTGGTGGTGGTGTGGTGGTGGTTTGTGGTTGTGGTGGTCGTGGGTTGTGGTTGTGGCGGTGGCTTGTGTAAGTGGTGCTGGTGGTGGTGGTGGTGGCGGTGGAGGTGGTGTGGTGCTGGTGGTTTGTGGTGGTGTTGGTGGTGGTTGGTTGTGCTGCTGGTAGTGGTGGTGGTGGTTGTGGCGGTGGTGGTGGTGTGTAAATTGTGGTGGTTGTCGTAGTGGTGTTTGGTTTTTTCGGTGGTGGTGGTGATGGTGAGTTGTGGTGGTGGTGGTTGTGGTGGTGTGGTGGTGGTTTGTGGTGGTTTGTGGTGGAGGTGGTGGTGGGTTGTGGCGGTGGCGGTGGTTTGTGGGCGTTTGTTGTGACGGTGGTGGTGGTGGTGGTGGCGGTGGTGGTGGTGGTGTTGTGGTTTGTGGTGGCGGTGGGTTGTGCTGCTGGTAGTGGTGGTGGTTGTGGAGGTGGTGGTGGTTGTGTGGTGGACTGTTGTGATGGTGGTAATGGTGGTGGGTTTTTTGTGGTGGTGGTTTGGTGATGATGGTGACTTGTGGTGGTGGTTGTGGTGGTGATGGTGGCTGTGGTGGCGGTGGTGGTGGTTGTGTGGTGCTGTTGGTGGTGGTGGTGGGGTGGTGGTGGTGGCTGTGGTGGTGGTGGTTGTGTGGTGCTGTTTTTGGTGGTGGTGGTGGTGTGTTGAGGCGGTGGTGGTGGTGGTAGTGGTGGTGGTGGTGGTGGTGCTGGTGCTGGTAATCGTCGCTGCGTCCCCGCCGTCGCTGGCGCCAGCGCCGGCGCGGCTGGCCGCCGCCAGCGCCGGCGCCGGCGCGAGGAGCGGGGGGTGTTTGAACGCCAACCCCCGGCGCCATGGGAGGGAAGAGGGGGGTTTGAAACCCCCACCCCCCCCTGGGCTGCCTCTGGTCATTGTCGCTGCGTCCCGCCGTGGGCGCCGCTGGCGGCCGCCAGCGCCGGCGCCGGCGTCGAGGGAAGCCTTGGGAAACGAGGGGGGGTTCGGGAGGGGGGGGGGTTTGGGGGGGAGGAGAGTCACGCTGGTTTTGGTCGACGGCGCCGTGTGTTTGGGGGGGGCCCACCCCTCGGTTTGAAAGCGCTGCCGAATGTTCCCAAGGCGAGCGCGGACGCGGCTGAAGCCTGTTTTGTATTCCGGGCCGATGGCGGCAATCATCTAGGGGGGGTGGACGGGGGTCGATGGCGTCACGTCTCGCGCCGGCGGCGCATGGGAATGCTTAGGAATGGCGGAGGACGGGTAGCGCCAATATGTAGGTGGCGATTTGCACCACACTGCCTCTGTACACCACAGTGCCCGCGTGCACCACAGCGCCTGTGTACATCACGCCGCTTGTGTACACCACAGCAGCCGCGTGCAACGCAGCGTCCGTTTTGTGCCACCGTGCTTGCGGGCACAACAGTTCTTGTGCACACCGCGGCGCTTGCATACACAACATCAGCGGTGTGCAACACAGCACCAGTGTACACCACAATGCCTGCGTGCATTGCAGTGCCTGTGTGCACCACGGCGCCTGGGTGCACCACAGCAACCTTGTGCAACGCAGCACCACTGTTGCAGATAGAATGTTGGAACAAATCCTTGTGACAAAATGGAGGCTCCAGGTAAATTGGCCGTCCGAGAACTAAGTGGACCGATTCAATCAGCCATTATTCGGCGCGCGCTGAGATGCGCACGTTGGCTGTAGCGCCAACCCGCACGACAGAGGGTAAGGAAGAGGAGGGGGATGAGGAGAAGGAGGAGGAGGAGGAGAAGGAAAAGGAGGAGGAACAGGAGGAGGAGGTGGTGGAGGTGGAGGAGAAGGGAGGAGGGAAGAACGTCGCATTCGATTATCAGCCCTTTCTGGCGTGGCGTCTGGTTGTCCGCAGCAGATCCCCACGTGCATGCTCCTTCTACCAGTCCTACGCGCGCAAGCGTTGTGGTGTGCACATGCGCTGCGTTGCGCGCCTTTGTTGCGGTGTACGCAGGCGGTGTGGCATACGCGCGCGCTGTGTGTTGCGCGCGAACGCTGCGGCGTGCACAGGCGCAGTGGGGCATATCGCCACCTGCGTGGTGCTCGCGTCGTCGTCGTCGTCGCTCGTCGCTCGTCCGCTCGGATCGAGCGTCCCGTCGCCGCGCGTGCGGTCGCGGCTGAGGTGCCGGAGCCACGCGGCCGTGGGTGGGGTGCGCGTTTGTCGGTCATGATTATTAAAAATTTACGCGGTTAAATCGGATTCACCCCGGGAATCGGACATTCCCCCGTTATTCTTTGAGAATCTTTGAAGTTTCGATCGTCTCTGAGAAGGAGGGAGAGAGAGGGCGGAAAGAGAGGACTGACGAGGACGGGAGAGGAGGGGGGGGGGGCAATGGAGCGGCGGACTTTTTTCGAGGAGGGGGCGGGGGAGGGGCTCGAGGGGAGGAAGGGGGGCGTCGGAGTGGAAGGAGGAGAAAGAGAGGAGGAGGACGAGGACGTGGACGAGAACGAGGAGGACAAGGACCAGGACGACGACGACGAGGAGGAGAGGCGAACGGGAGGTCATCATATGTTGGCTTC